ATGAAATAGTGACCTGAATAAGTCAGCTGCATGCTGGCCATCCACATCAGTCTTCCTAGACAACCTTGGTGCAAATTTCCTTCTTAGAGTCTGGCCAGATTTCCCAACAACCTGGCTCTAGCACCTACCCAATGCTGGTCTAATGTTGTACAGAATCATAGGATGACTACTGATACAACACGATGCAAGGGATATGGTTGAAAAGCCCTCTCAATTCCCAGTATCTCATTTCCAGCATTATAGGAATGATCACTCCAACTTCCAGGCCTACTTGCTTTATAGACAACATTAATTCTGCCTTTCACCCAGATTTTCCCAAAGGTGTTAATTTATCTAACGCTAGCTCTGTACACGCTTGCCTGGGAATAATAGACTTTGTAAAATCATGAATGATGAGGAAACTGGATGGACATTTTTATAATATTCTTTTCAAAGTATTAAAATTCAAGAATTAATGAAATTTATTAGAAACAGATTCAGGACTAGGTTCTACAAATACGTTATCATATGGTGCACATTATTATTATGCAGAATTCATGCTGCATTATTTGGTAATAGGCACACAGAGAGAACAACCATCCATCAGAGAAGTGAGCAGCAATAGCTAAAAATGAATCCTTCCCATTCAAAGACAACGTACCTTGGCATTTCAGCTACTGGAAGATAAACACCATGGCACAGCAGTTGTCTTGTGTGGTTTCTAAAGGTATCTAACTGGCCATTGCTGGGTGTAGAACAATTTCCATTTTTTCTTTTAAATGAAGGTTTGCACATGCTAACAGTTTCTTGACAGTATACCACACAGGAGAACTATTCCTGCATGAAATATAAAACCAGTATGCCTATTTCCATCTAACATATGGTAAACAGGATATTATTTCCTATCTCTGTGATGTTTATGAAGGATCTATTCCTAATTCCTACACAAGGAGAACCAGCATGGTGAATAGTTTTAGTACAGAAACCTGGGTTTTATACTGGGGACAAGGGACTCTTAAGGATGCATTGGCACTTAGATAATTTATTTTCTAGAATGATACGAGATATTTTAGTGTCTGAGATGGAAAATCCAGATCCCACCTCTTACAAATTATGAATGAGGATAGGCTTCTAGGAAGTTCTCCTGCACACGTTTAATTCAAAGCTGCTCCAAAGAATGGAGTGCCTAGGGACAAATCAGATTTCCCCACCCCTCAAGCTGTGATTAAATATGCCTAGAATCAGTTATCTTGCTTTATTTCATGTCTGGAGGCATTCTCTTCTAAACTGTCTGAAACTGTTGTGCATCTCTTAAAAGGGTATTTTACCTGATGAATCTAATTAGATTAGACTGGAATTCAATATCATTACAATACTTGTAGAATTCTCAGAAAGAATGCTTTCCCAATTATTAAATCATATTGAAAAAACTAGTCTATGTAATATGCACATCTTGCTCAACTGTTCTGTAAAAAGAGAGTACTCAGACACCCTGTCCTGTTCACAGCTAACCATAAGGGAGGACAGTATGGGTACTTTCCTAGCACCACTGTTTTCTGCTTCACTTGTAAAAATAGGGTCACATTTCAAATGTAGTCACATGCTTTATGGCTTGTACTGCTGCAGCTGTGAATTGAAGCCATACCTTTGATCTTCAAAATCTACAACTAGCCACTAAAATTTCACATCTGCCATGAACTCATTAGGTGGCCTCAGGCAATCCGACCTCTCAGTCTTATCTGCATGATGAGGGTAACAAGATTGTTCCAAGAACTACAAGATAAGAGATCTGAAGCTCTTTGAATACTTCAAAGCAGCTTCACAACCTGCTGCCTCCATGATGGGTTGAACCATCATTCCCTTAAACTACGGTCAGCATGGGTGGCCATGCTGGCTGGGGAATATAGGAGTTGCCCTCTAAGGTAACTGGAGGCCACCAGGTTGTGGAAAGCTGCTGTAAAGTATTCTATGTTTGCTAATGGTTATTATTAAAAACAGATTGCCTTGAAGAGGTTGAAGTCCCCTGAGACAGCCTTCCTTCAAGCCAGTGAAAACTGATCTCTCTCCAGCGGCAACAAACAGTGAAAATAATTCTTTCCCTTTGCTCCAGTCTCTCTTGCTGTCTTGCTTTGTCCTTCTCCTTTGCTTTCTCAGGCTTCATTTCAATTTGGAATACAGCAGACCATCAAGTTTGGGCTATGTTTTCATATCTGAACTTTTTTTTTTAAAAAAAAAAGTGAAATAAAAATAAAATATGGCTTCTGTGGAGACCGACCAGGCACTTCCAAGTCCTTTTGGAAATTATTCAAGGGCTACAGTAATAGCAGGGCACAAAAGGAGACTGCCCAGAGCTGCCATCCTCATCAGGCCCTTGGCTGGCCCCAGCTTTTGTGTTTTGAAACACAACTCTCTAGCTTTCAAAAATGTACAACACAGCTTGGAAATAAAGAAGCTGCTTCTTATTGAGAGGCAGGAATGGAACATCCTCCTGGAATGAGGACGTAAGAGTTTAACCCCTCCCCAGCTAGGACCTCGTCCCACTCTGATGAATGCTCTTTCCAACCACTTTACGTCTGTCCCCAAGAACCAAACGCTTCTCAGCACCACTCTTGTCCTTCTTGCTGCTGACGCCATGCCAGAAGGCGGCTGAAAGAGGGAGAAGCCAGAATTTCTGATGGGCTGGGTTTGAACCGGGGTTTCTTTCATCAGTTCTGTCTGGAAGTTCCCTTATTATTCAGCACCATCCAGCATAAAATCAGGGCTGTTTGTGAGCACAAAACCTGGTACTAGGGCATAGAGTTTAACTTCCTGGAAAATGCTACATTCATTTTAAAAAGCAACCACAGATCAGTTTTCTGGTCCTTAGGGTTGGAGACAATAATGAGCTTCACATGGGCATGGGTAGAGCCTTGGGGAATGTCAGAAGGCTGAAGTATGACTGAACTGAGTTCACTGGGGTCTGAACTTGAATGGCACCATATTTTTAAATATTTTTTAAGATTTTTTTTATCCTGCCTTTATTATTTTTATAAATAACTCAAGGCGGTGAACATACCTAATACCTAATCCTCCTATTTTCCCCACAACAACCACCCTGTGAGGTGAATTGGGTGGACAGAGTGTGACTGGCCCAAAGTCACCCAGCCGGCTTTCCCACCTAAGGCAGGACTAGAACTCGCCATCTCCTGGTTTCTAGCCTGGTGCCTTAACCACTAGACTAAACTGGCTCTGGTTAGCAGAAGTAGAAACTTGATCTTTTCTGCCATGATCAGCATAAGTGGGTCACTTGGTCTCCTGCAACAATGGCTCCACCACAACATTTCATCCAACCCTGATCCTAGGCTTAATTCTGGTGAAATTCAGAGGAGGAGAAGACTTGGTGCAAGTAGCCCATGGTCTTGATCCAAAACTTCTCCTGGTCTTCTGTCATAAATTATAACCAAGATTTACTTCCAGAAGGCAGAGTCAGTCAAAAGAGGCCCAACCCTCTTATTTGTTACTAGTGTCCATGCAGAGTTTGAGGATAGTTGCAGGGAGTCACTTGTGGAAAAGGGTTTCAAACTTCTTCCCTAGGTTTTGATTCTTTCCTGCAACAACTTTTCCTGACAGCTACCTCAACTAACTAGCTCAGAGTCCAGTTGGAGGTGAGGGTGGGGGGAAACCTAGGGGTGAAGAGAATCAGTGGGTATAGGGAAGAATTAAAGTCCTGCTTGCTATGATCACCCATTCTTCTCAAGAATTTGTTCTCATCTCTATACAATTATTAACCAACAAGGAGAAAATCATTAACCAAGAAGCACAAATTTGCAGAAATGTGTGTTGGTCTGACTTCCAAACAGCCACCTCCCCCTGAATCAAGGCAAAGGCATCTGTGCTCAAGGGTCCTTAGCACCTCTAAAAGTGCCATACTCACCAATGGCTATAAAGCTTGCCTCCCTGGAAGGAGAACTTCCCAACCATCAAGGGAGCCAGTCAATATGATCTTTTTGTGCTAGTGAGTTTCAGCTGTAGCAACTACTTATTGGATGTTCATCCCACTGGAGGAAGAGCAATAATGAGCAGAATGCCATCCATTACAATCTCTCCTGATACTGCCATGTGGCCTCCTGTAGGAAGTGGTACCCACTCACTGCTGCTGCTTTCCCAACAGCAACCTCTGGCAGAGCACATACAGAGCAAGAAAGTGGAAGTGAACCTGGCAACTCTTGAGGGTCATAAATTTAACACCCCATCAGAAAGCTATTTTTGAAGACTTGACTCCAACCTAGCCATGGACCACTATGATTCATGGTGGCATAATTTCCACAACACATGCTAAGGACTAAATTAAAGTCCTCCATGGAAGATGACATGAGTATCTGAGCAGAGGTTCGGGCTGCACATTCTAACTCAGAACAGCTTTATCCTGTTGTAGAAATAACAGCTGGGCATGCCCAGTTGGAGCACCCAGTACTGGTTACTCTGATTCTTCCATATGGTAACAAGTTTGGCACTGCATTACCAGATCCTTAACTATCTAAAACCAACATAAAATATATGCTATGGACTGCCGCATAAATTAAGCATGTAGAAATTACCAAAGATTCAACTTTCCCTTTTCTGGATCAGGGTTTCAGATAAAAAAAGACTAATTCAACAGCAAGAATCCTTCCACACTCCATTACCCACCAGATATTTTGGGCTGCAATCATCATTTCCAGCCAGCACAGGATGGTGGGAACTCTAGAACACATGGTTGTACATAATGTATGGTACCAGAGTGTGGGAGACTGGATTAGAGAGCAGACTCCCATTTCCCCTTGGTTCAGACAAAGAAAGCATGATGTGGACATGGACACCCATTTATAAAGTAAGGCGCTACCAACAGGAGCACAAAATAAGCTGGTCCATCACCTCTGTTGCAGAGAAGTTGATTATCTAATTCCTTCCCATTTCCCATTCCTCTGTGGCAAAGAGTCTCTCGATAAACAATTGTCTTGGACTAGTAGGTGGAAATTGCAGAGCCCCCATCCCTCACTCACCCACAAGTAAACACACAATATCCACGGCCACCAAGGTCTTCCTCAGCAACGCTCGTGGAGGAGCAAAGTCACTGGGTTGGATTCTGGAGCTCCGCACAGTCACCCGGACCTCTCTGTGTTCACTACGCCACTGTAAAGGCTGCTGGGCCAGATTATGAAGGAATTCAGAGCGATCGTTTTGCATGATCTGTTCAGGTCAGCTTGCCCTCTGGATCTGGTTCCTTAGCCCCTGCAAGGAAAGCAGAAGCCAGAGCTTTGGTTCCAGGTGGAGAGATGGTCAACTAGGATCCGATCAGCAGCTCTTGGTAGCAAAATAAGGAATGTCTTTGCCGGGCTGGGCAAAGAAAGCAAAGCTGAGGGTCCCCTGGTGATTCTACCCGACCTTCCAAGGGGCCTGGCGGCGGGGCAGGGTGAGGTTAAACTACAACCAGTATCATTTGTCTACAAGTTATTAGCCCAGCGCGCCCCGTCGCGAAGGACACGCTTTGCAAGGCTCTTCTCGCGTTCGCTGCCCCGCCACGAGATGGCAGATCTGGAGTAGTCGAGCCAACCGAACCTTGCCAGGGAATGGGACAACTTCTGGGGAAGCAGTTGCTTCGGGGCAGAGACCCACCTGGCGTCCTCGCTTTCTCCTTCAAGCCACGCCGTCCCGGTTGGCGTTTCCAGAGCTAGGACGGGAAGCAAGAGGGCGTAATCTTATCCTGGTCTGTCTTTCCCGGTGGGGCTGAATCTCGGCTCGGCTCAACTCGGTCGCTGCTGGCCCTTCGTCGGTTCCTTCCCTTTCCCTCCCTGAGGCGCCCGCTCCACCCTCCCTTCTGCTCGGCTGAGTTGCCGGAGACCCCGAGCGGGAAAGGAAGTCGCGAGACGGCTGCGATCCAATTCACGTCATAGAATGATCGAATTGGATCGCACGTGCACTTGCGCGTAAGCCCCTCGGCTTACTTCCGAGTCGATCTGCCACCGTACTCTTGGGAAGCAGAAGAGATTGGCAGGGAGGAGCGAAGGACGAGAGATCGGGGCGGCGCGCAGTGTGTCCCCGAGCCAACCCTTTGCCCCTCATCCGTGCGGGCCATCATCGGTAGTGTTCCGTGCCCAGGGGCCTGGGAAGGATCCTGCCAGCCGCCGAAAGGTTCCTGGGATGGGAGAAGCGGCATCCACCAGCAGCTCTCCCCTCCGGCAGCAGACGCGCTCTTCGCGTCTAGATCCGAGGGCGGTCCCTGTCGTGAGGCACGGTCAGGTGGCAGTTCTGGGAGTTTATACAGACGTGTAGTCCCAATATTCACCGACATTACTGGACTATTCCTTCCCTCTCCCCTTATCAAACTCCCACACTCTTGCTTCTCCACGTCGCCTGCGCGGGAGCCAAGCGCACAGCTCGCATTCTGCTGTTCGAGCAACTTTGCTCCACCTGAATAGCTTTCAGGTGTGTCCAATCAAGTTGTCGCGGGAGAACGGGAAGGGTACTTTAACCCATACAGGGCGCCACGGAGGGGAAACTTATGGGTCTTCCTCACTTGTACCTAATCATAGCCCAATCCTGATTTGGCAACATTTCCCCCGCCCGCCCCCCATCCCACGACGTTACCTTTATTTTGTTCCCAGCCCATAAGTGAGATGGGCTTAAGTCATCCTTTATGGAACCTGTGTTTAAATAGTATTTTCCTCCTTATTCTGACAACCTCAAGGCATTTAAAATCTGATAGTCTTTGTGGCTTATTACCTCCAAGTTAAGTTAGATGGCTGCAGTAATTTGAAACAGAGGCAAGAGAGGCAAGATTGAGAATGGCCATAGTATGCAGGTAACTCAAGGAATGAGTGAAAAT